GGGAAATGAGCCCTTATCTGGAGCTGTGGAGATAAGCAGAGGCAGTGGGCCACTCTGCTAGCTGCCATTTTAGCTCCTGACTCACATGTCCACACACACACACACACACACACACACACACCTATGCAAGGCTGCCTTCACACTCTCTGATATAAAAGCTAAAATAATATAAATATAGAGAGGGAATATTGATATTCAGAAAATGTAGCATAGCCATATTATACAATATTATATTGTTGTGATATTGCAGAGAGGTTATTTAATTTCATTCGGACTTACTTCTCTCTCTGCGCCTTTCGGTCCTCTCTCATTTATTCATGTTTGCATGTTGGTCTATGAAATGGAAGAATATGAGATAAATATGTGAGAGGGAATTAAAGGATTTAGCTTTTATTCACATCTAGCGGTGACCAAGAAATTACAGCAACGTTGACAGTTCTCTGCACAACTCACTGTAGCCTATAATAAACATAAATATAAAGGTACATTTCAAATAAAAACATAACACAACACTGACAAACAATTAGACATTAAAGTGCTCTTTCAGTAATTATTTAAGAATTGATAGTAAAAATAAAGAGGAATAATCCCAAATTGCCCTTTAAAATGATCTGTGTGGAAAACACACACCTTCAGAAACTGGGCTTAACAATAAAACAAGTCTCAGTGGCTTGCAAAGGGTTATTTAGTCATCATTAAGTCATACCATTCAAAACTCCCAATGTATCATGGTCAATCCATATTGAGAGTGGGAGAATCAAATTATTTGTGCCTGTTATGCATAATGTGTGTGCATTAGTGTGTGTTTGTGCCTGTCTGTCTGTAAATGACTGAGTGTCGTCACAAGCGTTTGCTATACAGCTGCAAACAAAGCCGGCCTGCCCCTGATTGATAGCCCCTGTGATTACTGTAGTGCTCGACTATGTTGATTAATGTGTTTCTCCTCAACTTAGTGACTTATGTTTAAACGCTGTGGGAAATGCAGCGCAACCTCCCTTCATCACAGGCCATTGCAGGATGTTCATTGTTGAATCTTCTTTATTATTCATCTTATTCTCTTTTCACAATCGCAAAGTGCAGTCTCAACTTCGAACACTGAGGCCAAAAACAGATGTTTTTTTATTGCCGGAGCAACAGGCATTAGTGGCCGACAGAGTTTTCAAAGTAGTCTTTTATAGGAACACTTGTTTTATTAACACAGTCCAGGGGAATCAATATTAAGTGCCTTGCTTAAGGGTGAAATGGCAGAAGGCAATGTTAATACTTGTCTTTCAGAGGCAGTACAGAAAACACTATTAAACACTGTTTTTGACTCATTATCTGCACATCTTATCAGAGTACATTCACACTGACTTTAAATTTAAGGGTTGGGGCTCAGTGCCATACAGCTAAACAGCTCAGTACAAGCCTGAAATACAGTGGGCTGTAGCAGGTGTGTTTGCTAAGGTTCACTTACTTACTGGATATTTGACTGTTCTTTCTTTTTCCTAAGGGCTTTGCCACAAATAATCCACACTATCAAAAGACCGGGTCAAGATTTCAAGAAATCAACAGCTGAATAGGCTGATAGGGAAGCACACACTGCTCTACAACACAATTTCAATTTGCATTTGTCATGCTTTATTTATCTACACTACCCCTGATCCCACTCAAGAAGTCTGGTTTCACTACTGTTTCTCTGTCACCAAACTAAACTGATATGTAACAGATACCTACAGTACAGGTTTTAGCATGAAATGGAAGAACAGTATGTTCTGTCTCTTCCCAAAGATGGCTTCAGTGTTGCCATTCCAGTCCAGTTTTCTACTGATTTGGATTCCAAGGTACTTGGAAAGAGTCCATGCTTTTCAATTCTTCATCAAAAACAACAAGGACAGGGGGCCGGCTATTCCTCTTGTAGGCCACCACAAGCTCATTGGTCCAAAGCCCTCTGTTAGTCTTCTGTAAAAAATAATAGTGAAGACTGCATGTCTAACTGGAAATTATACAGTAAATTCATAGTGATAAATTCCATTATGCGAAAAAATATTCTTAATACCTTTCATTCAATTCCTTTAAAGTCTTATCTACATATTTGAGTCTGGACAGACATGAATTTAAACTGCAACTTGTTTAGCAGAGGAATACAGCCGCAAGGTGGTAATTCTAATGTAGTTTGTTGTATTGGACTTATTCTGTGTGTACAGCAGGTGCTGGAAAAGAGGCAAGCATTCCCTCAAAGTATCTTTTGCAAATCTACATTCTTTGAGTGTGCCAACCTTAGTGTTCATATCACGTTTGTCACTTGCTTGTTACTGAAGGACAGACAAGAGGCAAAACACAGGCATAATGTATGTATGTGTGCATGTGTTGCACCCATGCCCCTGCATGTGTGGCTTGTTTTTGTGTGCCTGTGTGTGTGTGCGTGTGTGTGCGTGTGTGTGCGTGTGTGTGTGATTGTGTATTAGTGCTGGCCTCTTTGCTTATGTACTCTTTTGTTTATTTGTTTCTGGTAAGCTTATATCACAGTATAATTATGAAAATCAATAGTGTGCCCGTGTTGAGATCCACACAGTTTTTTAATGTAATTTTTAACCTCAAAAAGTAGACGCTCGATCCTGATAAAAAGTCTCTTAAAAGTATTTACAGTGTATCATTTACAGCATAATTTGTATATATGTGATTTTTTTTTTTTAATTCTCTAAGTCTTTTCCATATACCGTTTGCTGCGATACTGTTTCTGTTCCTACAGGTGTTTGTTGAGTTTGTGTGCATACACAGCAGAATTTCTTTCCTGCAGGTGTATGAGTATGAATTTGAAGCCTCCCTGTACTATTGGCCTCCCTTGGTGGCTGCACTGCTAATGTTATATTGATTATACACACTCACATTTTACAAGCACTTAGACAGCTGCTGTGCTGTAAATTCACCCTTTACAGTGTCTTTCATCATCGCTGCTCACCATGTATCAGTATCTTGTTTGTCTGTTCTGTGATCCCCATCTCTCCCTGTCTCTCTTCTCTTTGTTGTTTATGTTATCTCTTGCTTTCTAATTTGTCTGTCTCTTGTTTGTGTGTCCTTAATATGTTTCTCTCTTTACATCCACCCCCTTTATCATATTTGTAAGTTTACGACTGTCGGCACACAAACAGCACCTATACACTCAGAAAACTGGGAAGGCTTACAGGCAGCATCTGTGAGAGAAAGAGGGGAGAGAGAGAGAGAAGGCTGGACACACACATTGACACACTCTGATCAAGGGCTATATTGACATTAGGACAGCAGTGGTTTTTCTGTGTTATAAAATAAAGGTTAGTGGACTCATCTTCTGAGAAACACAAGATTACAAATGCATCTGTTTTTTATCCAATTAAGAAAGAACAAAGAGAGGATACAGATTTTGTGTGTGCAGAAGGGAGGTCAGACTCAAATTCTAGCTCCACATCTCCCCCTCCAGGCTGAAACGAGGATGATATGTAAGAAAATCTACCTGGCTGTGTCTGTGGGTGTTACATAAATGCAGATAGAAAAGCAGTGTCTTTGAAATCACAGCAATGTTTTAATGATGATTAGAATAATACATAATAAGGAATATAAGGATATACTGGAGAGTAGGTGCAAAAAAAGCTAAAAGAGTTGGAGAGATGTCAGCCAGCCTATGCATGCCTACTCGGTCAAATAAGTGAAAACCCCTGTGTGAGTGGACCACAGCTCTGCAGGGAAATGATTAAAAGGGAAATAATACCCTGCCAAGAACAAAGCTTTTTAAAGGCCCATCAGTGTAGATGTTTTGATTACACTTTAGCTCAAGTTGAAGTTTGTCAGTGCTAAATTACGAGAGGCTACCAAATTTGGTGAAACAGGAGAGTTAGTGAGATGTCAATCAAGCAAATCCACATAGGCCTGAGAAGAGGTATAATAAGGCAAAATAAATACACCGATCAACCAGAACATTATGTTATTTCTATGAATGTGGGAAAGGCAATTCAGTTGTTACTCTTTCCCAGCTGCCTTCAATACTGTCATCATACTGTTGTACAGTAGTTGACAACAGGCTTCTAATGGAAAAACCTGCTCTTGACACCACGAAGGAAAGTAATCCTACCAGAGGAGTTTAACTGACGTCTTTTATTCCGTCAACAATATTTCAAACAGGATATGAAATGTTAACTAAGTGGCAGGGTGTAAAAAAGAAACCAGTTTAGCTAAGCTTTATTGTAAGTAATGGTCCCAAAAGGGAATTGATCAGAATTGGCAGAGAATCACATATTCAACAGTAACTTCAGGCTTTAGAAAAATGGATTATCCCATATTTCCCTCTGCAGTATGCCCTCTGCTTCTCTGGTGTGTTTGTGTTTTCTTCTAAGCACAAATCATGCCGTGCAATTTTGTGTGTATCACAGTAGGAGTGTGTGGTTGTGTGTGTTTGTCTCTGGATAGCAGACAGCTAAATCACTTCTTTTTTTCCTACAGCCTCTCTCTCTCTACAGGGAAACCAGGCTAGTTTGATCTTTGAAGCTAAAAAACTATATTTTATTGAAAGCAGAGGGCAGCACATAGATTAAGAAAATATGGTTAGGGACTTAAATAATGTGGTCTCGGGGAAAAGACTGGAAGTTTATGATGCAATTTGATAGACATACAAGCCTGGGTTATATTTATAAAGCCCATTTGAATTAAAGGAAATCACCATTCTTTTCACAGGCACAGTACATAATTAACCACGGATAAACCTTAATAAATTGCAGAGAATTTGACATACATGTACAATACAAAAGTGGGACTTGATTAAATATCCTTTAGCACTCCAATTGTGTGTGTCTTAACATCTTTCTTCTGCTCTGACTTTTTATAGCAAACATGCTAATGTTAAATCAATCATGCACTTTTATTGTTTTTAAATCTTGTGCATGTACTTGCCTCTTTTCCTCTCTACAGCCTATCGCTCGAAAGACCCAACCTGGTGTCCATGATGTCTGCTAAACTAACTTATTGTGTGTTTGTGTGTGCACACATTGCAGCTGGCAACGTGGGACCCAGTCCACGGCTTGAATGGCACGCTGACAGACAGGAAATTGGAAAATAACATGAGGGGTGTGGTGCTACGAGTTGTCACTGTTCTGGTGAGTAAAGCTGACCACTTTTTTTTTTTTTATTATCCTGTGATTTCCAATTGACCATACATAAAAAAAAGACCTATTTCAGTGTTTCCTGTTTGAAAATGATCCTGCAGTTCACCCAGAAGAATCAAAGACGGACTATTGTGACTAGCGCTGGCATGTCAGACTTAAACCTTTTGCTCTATTGTAAATCTGTCCTTTTGTCTAGTTTTCCGCCCATCATTCAACTGTCTCTGTGGAGAATAGATGAAGAGAGGGACATATTGAGAGCTTGTGTGAGGGAATGAAAATGGCAGACAAACATTTATGAGATGAAATGTTGAGGCGACAGAGAGGAGTCGGAGACGATGAAACACAAATAAAATGTAACAAGGTGAGCTTACTAATGGGCTAAGCTATCATCATTTCATTTGCTTCCATTCTGACATTTGATGGCTAGATGATAGACCATTGGAGTCTTGATGATAGTGAGACTCCAGCTCTGTCTGTCTTGCCTGCAGCATCGATTCGAGTACATCCCATGAGGGCTTTAAAGATTCACTGCTGTAAATTCTTCATATCCCGTCTTTGAAGTGAGAAGCAGAGAAGAAAGAGATAATGCTAGACATCTATGCCTTTTTCTTTCTCTATGTTTTTTTTCCAGTCTTTGATTTTCATCATCCTTAAAGGGTAAAAAAGAATATGGATTGTGTTTTTGAACATCGCCCCTTTTTCCTATCATCAGTGTAGCGTCGCTCCTACATTTATGTTCTGTGTTCTGTTGTTGTTTCTACACTTTACGTCCAGTACCTCTGGTTGTGACTGGTGCCTCGTGAGGACCTAAAGACCAAAAGAGATAGAAATAGTGTGAAATGTCCAGGATGTACTTTTTTTGAGAATGTTTGAAAGGCACATCCTGATTGTACTTGTGTGCAAGTGTGCGTGCATGAGATTAAGTTTCTGAAGAGACCTTTGGAACAGATTGTTCTCAATCGCTCTGGGCTGTTTCTGCTCTGATGTAACAGTTTTTTTTGTCTGTAAGGTGCAATGGTCTCATACAGTATACCATCCACACACACACACACACACACACACACAGTTACCTATAAATGAATGTGTTCATTCTATTCTATCAGCCAGTCTGTTGAATAGTTATTGATTAGTTAATTGGTGATGAGATCATACCACTATTACAGCCAATAACTCTCAGTCAATACTACTGACTAGCTGTATTGATTATTAAATGGATGTTACCAAGGAATGGCTACATCACTATAATTATGTGTTTATGTCCCTCTTCGGGCCTCAGTAGTGTAGCAATTTACAAATGTGATCGAAATTGATATTTTGCAACTGGGAAATTTAATTTGAATCCTTTAAATGGTCACATGAAAATGATATGTTCTAGAAAGGAACATGGTTTTCTTTAGATCTAAGACTCTGAAGGTACAAAATCAGCCCATATATTAACACTCACAGACTTGCATATGTCCCCAATTTGGTTTGATTCATCTCAGCAGCTGATTTTTCATCTTTTGCTTAATTTTTCGAGAGTGCACCCACATTTCCCTGGTTCTACTCCACATTTATGAGTAACACGCTGTGAATGTAGCTACTGCAGCCCAAATATGCAGCCAAAGGCAGAAGATGTCCCTTTTTAACTTGAGTTCACATTTTTTGGAGATAATGAAAGAGCGCTCAGTGTTTATCCCCAAATGAACCTAAAGTTTAATGTTTTTCTTTTAAGAACTACAGACAACTGTGAGGGGCTACAATTCAAAATGTGTCGTGAGGGTTAATGATGATTGATGATATTTAATTCAGTTGATTTAGACATGGGTATATTTTAAATTATGTTTACATTTATGTTTGACAGTATGTCTCTACTCTGGTAGACTGGTAGACTACTTGGTGTTGTTGGTAAAGTAATAGTCTATTGAAGCAGTTTATGTGCAGGTACTTGAAATTGTGGAAAGTTTTGTCCTGAAAAGTAGCAATTGGTTTTCTGTTACACAGCTATCAAAGTTGTCCAAAACTATATATATATATATATATATATTATTACTGGGAATGGGTCCCAGCTGAAAGAACAACAGGACATTTGAAGTTTTTACTCATTTTTAGATTTATTATATAGCGACAGTAGAAAGATGACAACTAGACAAGTAGAGAAATGCAACTAATGTCCCATTTACATTGCAGTTCATGGTCTCTGTCTCAACCCCCAAGCCATGGGGATTTCCCCTGAAAAGTTAAAAAAAATCTGTGTTGCACGTTCAACATAAATCGTAAGTCACAAAGTTTAAGTTTTAGCTGTTGAGTCACAATGTGCACTGCTTAAACATATGTTGTTTTTTGACACACATTCTCCATCTTTATCAAACAGAGAGTGGGGGAAAATTCATTTTTATAACAATATGAAATCTAATCTTCTGCAGAGATTGGCAGGGCTTACATTTTTACACCAATTTCACAGACAAAGCCACAGAGTGTTTTGAAAATGCTCACCGCTGCAAATCACCACATGACATTCCCAGCATTCTCTCAGAGGACTCTTCAAATGCCATTACTTAGTCTTTGTGGAAAATGTATCTTCCTTGTCCCAATCATGTCTCCAAAAACACCCAAGCAGCACTGAGACCACATGTGGTGCTTACAGTCAAGAGGAGACAGGGGATGAACTTGTTCCAAAGGAATTAGTGTAGAGGAAAGAGAGGAGGAGGAGAAGGTAAATGAGATGGAAGCAATATCTGAAAGACAAAGAGGAGATGTAGGAGAAGGATTGCTGAATATAGAGGAATGTTAGATAATATTTCAGGGATGACAAGTGTTGTAGCCTCGATGGATGGATTGATGGAAAGAGAAGAGGTGTCCTAGACATATGTTTAGGGAAAGCGGGAGACTTTGCAGTGTGGAAAGTTGCCAAATGGTGTATATTACATCTGGTGAGTGGCAGGGGAAAAAAAGAGACTGCAGAATAACAACAGAGAGGGAAAAGGGACTGGGAGGGAAAAGGGACAGGAGAGACAGATTAGTGTCACAAAACCAGACTACATCTCGCAAGGTAATTTTTCGTTACAAGATTTTAGTCTGGAAACCACTGACTGAGTATTGATTGAGCCCGGCAGCTCAAAGCCAGACCAACAAGTGAGCTATGGGAAGTGTTTAGAAGATTACATGACTCATTGCCTCTCAAAAGTCAAAACTTGGACAACTCTTTAAAAGAGGTTTTTTTTGTTTTGTTTTTTGCTGAACATTTATCACAAAATGATTTGGCTAGATAGTTCCACAAAGATTTGACAATGTTTTCCCAACAGCCACCATGGTCAATAAGTTTAAAAAAATAAAGAAAGACCAGTGGCAGTCAGGTGTAGAAATGATTCATGTTGATGTCTAAGTGAAGGAGAGAACTGTCATGTATTGTACAGCCAACTTGAAATGACATCTGTGTCAAACAATCTGTGCCCTTGCCAGAGAACAGTGAGCTAAGCTAAAATCGTGGGTTGCCTTTGAGACACTAGAAAGACATGAGGGGCTTTTATATATTCTGTTCTCCCAGTCCTTTACCTACCAAACATGCTTTCAGTACTTTCAAACACTCCCACCCCCACCCCACACACACCTACACAGAGTTGCACATGCAGAGTTTCTTGCCTTCTATTGATTTGCTGCTGCTATTGGTTATGTGTTAAATGGTTCGCTTGCAAGCTGTGGGTGGGCATGTGTGTGTGGATGCATGTGTGCAGCACTGGTATGTGTGCTTGTGTGTGTTTTCACTGTATACCACAGAGCCTGTTCACTTGGAACGCAGACTGGGCAGTAATCAATGCACAATAAGCTGAAATATCTTTTGGAAATAGAGAGAAAATTGAAGAGGGATAAGTTGAATGCGTTTTGAAATGAAAATCTTTCCAGTTTTTTCAGGACAATTTTTCAATCAATATGCTGTAGTGCCAACTGCCAAGTTAAACCAAACTGAATATGTCCTTACTACTTTTTTTGTACTTTGTAAAACCTACAGTTCCTTTAAAATGCTATTTAATATGTCTTTGCTGCTGAACTGTTTTCATTCTTTTTCCTCTTTCATTGCTTGGTAAAGATATAACAGCACCCTAGTTTGTGTGACAGTTACCTAGCATATTGGATTCCTCTATACTGCTGTTGTCATACCCTTCAGATATAGAATGTGCAATGAAAAAGTGCCTGAACATACTCTAGCTGTTTGAGATGGAAAATATTGTGTGCGTAATATTATTGCATCCTCATGTGTATGCAGGCAAAATCGGTAATTTTAAAGCCTTGATGTCTAGATTCTCTGCTCTGTTCACCAGTACTACATGAATTTGAAGAAATGTCATTATAGCTGTGTAATACGTTAACATTCACCTTATAAGTGCATTTGGAACATTATAAGTGCATTTGGTCAACTGTGTTATTGTCCCCCTGCACAACAGGGTCATCCATGTATACTCCACCACATTTATGTTTGTTTGTTAAGATTTAAGAGTACCCACATAGGGAAGCAATCATGGGTACTTGGGGAGTAATTCAGTATGTATGGGTGTGTGTGTTAGCGGGTGTTCCTGCCTTGATTGATGGATGCTTGTGGTGAGAGAGGGACTTGGCATGCATGTCTACTCACTGCCTAATAGCTTATTGAACAGCAGCAGCTCGCAAGGATTAGAAACCACCAAGTTAATGCGTAGCATAGCCTGTGTGTGTGTGTGTCCGTATGTGTGTGCTTAATGTGCAGCCAGTATCCAGTCAATATCACACAGGCCCTCATAAATCTGCAAGACATATTGGCCTAAAACATTTCACTCATCAATAGGGATTTATTAAAGAAGAGAGAGAAAGGAGGGGGGGCAAGAGCTGAAGAGAAAACTCCTCAATGAAAAACTCAATCCAAGCATTGTAAATACAAGTAAACATCAATTTTGTTTTTCTCTTCTAAGGTGAGCTTCCTTCTAGTTTTCTGCTCTCCTTGTTAAAAAATACATTGTTTCTCCTTGTGCTGGCTTCACTTAATTGCCTAAAATGTCAACATTGCTGGATGTCATTTAACCTCAACAGGAAGCTGCCCTTTAGATGCCATGGTTATATCGATAAACAAGGGCTACAGCCGTACCAACTGCATTTAAAAATGAACCAATAAAAAACAAATCTGCTGAATTGCATGGTGCGATTATTGATTTTCAACATTTTAATTCACTTGAAAATGTTAAATAGGTTATGTTTTAAATAAATTATTAAACATGGTTCCCTCAGTGAATCAAAAGAAAGCTGAGTAGGGAAGTTTGGGAGCATAGCCAAGATGTACCTAGGGTACATCTTGTTTTTCTCCTGGAATCCCAAACAGATAGTCCAAAAAAGAAAGGGCTTACTGTAGCAAAGAATTTAAACACGTGGACAAAGTACAAGTACAGCATGTGTTTGTATCTGTTTTGGTACATTTGTCAGCATCTGGTTTGCCTTCACAGAAACAGCAAAAGGCAGAATTATTCATTATTTCTGGTCAGAATACTTTTTTCTACCATATTGGTTAAAATAAAAATGTGCTATCAATGGTATTTTGTTTTCTGCAGTTGTGTACCAGTAACTGTTCAATTAAGACACTCTGTGGAGTTTTTGGCCACTAGAGGGCAATGTAGAGCAATGTTTAATGAGAGTAAGAGAATGTTCTGGTGTCTCGTATTATACCAGGGATCGAGGATAGCCATGCATGCCACAAGAGAGGGGGATGTGATACATATTTCACCCACAGTGGTGAGATTTCACCCAGGCTGTGACATTTCACATGTCATAAGGGTCAAAAATCCCATTTGCACTATTCTACACAGAATGGTAATGCATGGTGAGAGTTGAGGGCGGTAAGGTAGCTTTCAGAGATAGCAATGTGTCAGTGAAAGGGAAGAAGATTGGAAGCCAATGAAAAACCTGCAGGTCCTAAAACATAAAAGGCTTTGATTTTATTAGTGGCAGGAAATGTATTTAACCATCCAAGCTGTTTTTTACAATGTAGACACCAGAGGGATGGTTTTAAACGTACTTACAATTACACTCGTGTGAATAACAATGTGTTAAAAATGTCCAATGTTGGAAATTCTTGCACTGTATGTGTAAGCTCCCATAGACACGTTCCTACCTTTAGGGTGAGCTTTTGTGGTGGTATAATGGCCACTTGAGTAATTGGGTGATTTAATGCTTCAATGACTGGTGTATTGATTGGCTGCTAGACTGACTTACTGACACACTGATTGATCTTTGCCTTCCAGGAGGAGCCATTCGTGATGGTGTCAGAGAATGTTCTGGGAAAGCCGAAGAAGTACCAGGGCTATTCCATTGACGTCCTGGATGCTCTGTCCAACTATCTGGGCTTTAAGTATGAGATCTACGTCGCCCCAGACCACAAATATGGCAGCTTACAGCCCGACGGTCAGTGGAACGGACTGATGGGTGAATTGGTCTTCAAGGTGAGGAGAAAATAATTTACACACATGCACAAACACATGTGAGCACAGCTAATCACACACTTGCAATACAAAAAAACAATGCAATATTAATTGTATTGAATTTAACCTGTGGAGAGAATATGCAAAGGGGTGTTTGTTGTTCAAGCCTGGGGGGGAATCAGATGAATCTGCGATCCCATGTTTTATATACGCAGATGCATCTGGCGGCCTGTTCAGACATATTTCCACCCAATCTGGATCTGGTCAGGCCAATCACGACTGTTAATCTAATATGGTGTGGGTTTGATACAATGACTGAGACAGAGGAGCGCGACCTTACTGGCCATCGAAACATTTTCAACAACCAAGATGGCTGTGGCTGATGTGGAAGTGTAACTGTTGAATCTGCTATTGCGTCAGTATTAAATGAACTGGATGGTATATTTTATACTGTGTAACGCATTTCATTGCTCTGATTGGTTGTAGGTCTACCCAATTGCGTCTAGAGGTACTTTGGTCTGTGCCCATTGATTACACCCCTTGGATATCGAAAATGATGACTCCATACTAATTTGCATTTGCGAATATAGCTTCCCTCAGATTGAGTCTGCACCATTTTGAGTCCCATCATAACATTCCCACTGGAAATCATGTCACTTCAAACGCTAATATTTGAATAAGACTACCATAGGACTGAGATTAACTTCTTAAAATTGAAGAGAGAAATTCAGACACTCTTTCAATAACCATGGCAGCATGTAGTCTGAAGTGAACCAGAGCAGAACTCAAAGATTCAGAAATGTGATATTGCATATTGGTATAAAACACAGCAGCTTTTCAATAATTTGACTTCAAGTACTTTCAAGTACTTGATGCATAACTACTGGCACTTGAACTTCCTCATTGAAAAGTGGGGATGACGTTTCTCAAGAGAATGTGAAGCTATAAATGTGGATTGCACAAAGATGAAGAGACCTATCGTCTAAGGGCAATACATTGGTACAGTTGGATGATAACTACTGGTGATAATCATAACACAGCCACCGTAGCATACAGGTTACTTGAGGTATCAAGTCAAGTAAGTAACCTTGTTGTCCATTAGCACAAAGTGTACCAACGTAACCTCCTTAACTCCTACTTAACCTTGCGAGTCAATCTTTTGTACTACCAGGTTTATTGCCCTCAGTTTAGATGCCAAAGCTCTATTGCCTGTCTATTCCAACATGCTCTAGACTTGGACAGCTTTTGGCAAACAGTACTGATTATTTTCTATTGAAAAATTTAGCATTTTACCAGAAAACAGAATAAAGTAAAGAGGTATTTTCAAATGTGTACAGTCTGATAATCCAGATTTTTCATTTTTACTCCACAATCCAACATTTTGAGATCAATATTTCTGTGAGAAGTTGAAGAACTCCTCCGCATATTCGCATGACTCATTCTTGTAGAAAAGACAGAGCACATTATATTTTTCTTAAGAAAACAAATGCTAAGTAAACAAATGGAAACCAAATATACAGAGTAGCTCATTGTGTTTCAGGCCTTTCCTGTTCCTCTGGAGCCGTTATTTAAAACATTCATTGACTGTTGTCATGTAGGGGCCTGCCGCAATAAACCTTGGACTCACCGCAGTTTCTTACAGTCACGCTATTTCTTTGTCCTCAGAAACATTCATGAATTTCTAAAATTGGATGCAACAAGGCCAAGGCAGTAATAACAACAATGCAACACTTCTTTTCTCCTTTTGATACCAAAACTCACTAGAGGTAAGATTAAATAAATATTTTAGCTAGGTACAACATTGTTGCCATGTAAGTGAGTTTGCTAATTTTATTATCAGTCCATAAGATAATCACCTCAGCAATTAAACTGTACTTTGAAATTTTATAGACTTGACTAGACTGATTGAAACCAGTAGAATTTGTTACCTTCAAGACTAATGAATAGTGTTCATTAACACCACATTGAAAAATCAATCAAATCTTTAAGTATACCTAATTTGTTTAATGCTGTCATGACTCAAGATGTCCCTTGGACAAGCACAGGTTACTTACACTTTGAGACATTAATTCAACAATAGAAAAACATACGGACAACCCCTACACAGGCAGAAGTAGATTCTCATTTACAGAAAATTCAACTACCTTCATAAATTTTTATACATTAAAGACTAAGCTGGTCTTTAATTATCATTTCCTACTGAGTATATGTGTTTGTGCAAGTGCATGCTTGTATCTGCATGTGCCCTTTGATGCTGCACATTTTGTTCCTTCTCCATAGGTCACGGATGTTTTTTATAGTCAGCAATGTTTTTCCCAGAAGTTTTCCATGCCTTCACTTCATTATTTTCTTTTGGCTGTGTGTCAAGCTTGAACATTTTTTTTTAAGACTGGGCTCTCCTTCCCTTGACCTTGTATACTTGTGTGTTCAGCCTTTGTTTCCCCCCACCCCCAACCTCCATGCAACAGCTCACAAAATTATAGAGAAATGCTTTGAGCACAATTCATATTTATGTGTACACAGACAAGCACAGCCTGTAAATAAACTGAACGCGCAAATAATTTTGTTTTCCCCATCAGTCAGCAACAAGGTTTATCTCTCCAAAAACCCAATTATACCAGATAATTATTACCCAGAGTGCTCTCTGGAAGTTTCCATGTTGACTGACCACAGCGGTCAGCATGGCAATTCATCTCTACTCACACACACACTTGCATGCATATCGCTGTGTTGTCTAAACCAACAGGCATCCTGCAGGGTTTATCCTAATATTCTTCTTATGCAGTTTAAGTGACAATTTCTGCATATTTAAGCATTTTGTTTCCTCACTCGACTGTGAAATTAGCAGATTTTTCTGCCTACAGTGGATTAAAATTTTTGTTTGTTTTGTGTGTGTGCGCGCATGGGGATATGAATTTTGGTGTGTGGTGGGTAAGCATGCAAGTGTGTGTGTACAGTAGCAAAGTTGTTATTGTCAGTTGTTTTGACCAATAAGGAAAATCTCATTATCGAACAAGTTCATAATATGTGCTATCTCTCGCACTAGTATAGATTTCAAACACACATGCACCCACTCACATCAGCGTCTTAAATCCTTGTTATGGTAGAAGCAGATGTCTACAGCTGCTAGCCAAGCACTGGGGACTGAAAACATTTTAATTAGCCATCATTGTTTCTGCATTTAAGCTGAGCTCAGTCTATTTTTTTTGGCAGACATACTCACTAACAGCTTTTTTTCAACTTAAAGTCTTTACATGTAAATAATTAAAGCAGTCATTAGTTGTCTCTTAAAATTCCAACTGATGAGAAAGGCTTTAAATGCTTTTGGAGGCATGCTGACACAAAAGCAGATCAATGAATTAATGAACAAACGATTAAAAAGTCATACAGTCCACACTGGGCTTACAGTGGGCTTACGAGACAGTACTTACATACTTATGTATACAGACGCAAAACAGGGCATAATGTCAGGTCTAACCCAATATATCCTGGCTTAATTTACATTGCTGCAATTATTAAAAGTGCCAGCATGGTCATTAACCTGTTCATATTCGTCAGGGTTTGGTAAAGCTTTCACATCATTACAGATTTCCCTGTACATAGATTTAGTAGGTTGGAACAGATAGGGTTGCAAGTCCAGTAACGATTGAAAACACAGAAACCAACTCCTGCACCCTTCACTTCACTTCCCTTCACTTTAACACTTCATTGTGGTCTAGTAGGTTTTAGTGGCATATAATAGTGTAGTTGCAGATGGCAACTCCTTCCCTTCACCCTCTCCTTCCAAGCGCATAGTGAGAAACTACAGTGGCTGTGAAACATGCGAAAAGGGTTAATGGCCCTGGAGGCAATGTTTAGTTCGTCCATTTTGGGCTACTGTAGAAACATGGCAGTCCAACATGGTGGAAAGTGCCCACAACACCTGTAGATAAAAATGGCTCATTCTAGGGTAACAAAAAGATAATGATTATTATTTTCAGGTGATTATACACTAATGAAAACATACCTATGAATATTATATTGCATTTCTGCCAAATAGATCCTCCTAAATG